CTCCCCGCCGCCGCAGCTGCCGCCCCCGCCGCCCCCCGGGGAGCTGGAGGGGTCCCCGGGAGGGAGGGCGGACGGACAGAGCCCGGCCTCCCCCGCGGACGGACAGACGGACGGGGCGGTGCCCAGCATCCCCCCCATGGACAGACACGGCAGGGTAAGGCTGCCCCCCCAGACAGACAGACAGACGCGAGGGTGTCCAGCTTCCCCGACAGACAGACAGACATACATGGAGGTTGGATGGGCAGAGCAGTGCCCATCCATAACTCCCAGACAGACAGACAGACATGGAGGTTGGATGGGCAGAGCAGTGCCCATCCGTAACTCTCAGACGGACAGACAGACAGACATAGAGGTTGAATGGGCACTGCATTGTTCTGCCCATCCATTTCACCCAGACAGACAGACAGACATGGAGGCTGGATGGGCAGAGCAGTGCCCATCCATAACTCTCAGATGGACAGACAGACAGACATGGAGGGTGGATGGGCAGAGCACGCCCTTCCATCTCTCCCAGACAGACAGACAGCTGTGGCCCACCAGCCCACATGGATGAGAGCTGCTCAGGCTGGGTCCACTCAGGCAAGCAGAGCTGGGGGCGGCCCAGGTGGGGCCAGGCTAATCCCCAGACAGACAGACAGACAGACTGGGCCGTGTCCTGCTCACCCCGCTTGGCCACGGGGTTCCCCATCAAATCCCGGGCAGGCCAGGTGGAGCACGGCTAATCCTCGGGCAGGGACAGGCAGCGGCTGGCGCAGGCAGGGCTGGCTCCGGCAGAGCTGTGGTCCAGACCAGAAACCCCTGGCCATGGTCAACTGGTTGGTGGGCAAACGGACCCAGCATCACCCATCCAGGTTTTTGGGAGAGGCAGAGCTCGACCGGGTCCCGCAGGCAGAGGGGACTTAACAGGTCCATGGCCGTCGCGGTGGGGTATTTTCTACCTGTGGAAGAGAAATAAAGCTGCAATTTCCTTCCCTGTTCAGGCGGGGAGAGGCAGAGCGGTGGGGTCCAGACTGGCTGTGGCCTTTAGGAGCTACCCTAACATCCGCAATTGGAGATAAAAGGAAAGTTCCCGCTGGTTCCCTTCCAGACAAATGAGCCTGGCCGGGTCTCTTTGCTCTTTAGCAGCATCTGCCCACCCTCTGCACCTGATTCCTTCCAGGAGCCTTTCATCTCCCTCCCCTGCCTGCTCCCAGAGCCCCGGCTGATCTGCCCGCGGGCTTAATGGTACGGGAGGATGTGAGTCCCCCGGGACCGTGCCGTGCCCACCTCCTTCTTCTCATCTCGGCTCGCCGGAGCACTGCTCTTCCCCAGCTCCTCCTCTCCCGCACCTACTCCGACGACTGCGTCCGAAGGGATTTTTGATGGGAGGAGAGGAGTTTCTGAAGCTTTCGTTTTGCTGTCGGGAGACAGCCGTGCTAGGGACAGTCTCTTTCTTTCTCTAAAGTCTGTCCCTGTCAGGGGGATGTCAGTGACACGCTGGTTGATGCCCGTGTCGAAGAAGCAGGGACTTGAACCAGATGCAGCAGGATTTTCCGTGGAAGTGCGCCTGCCTTCTGTGTTTATTTTCCTACTGTAGGTAAATCTGATATCAACAGGTTGCTGAGAAGGGAAAAAACCTCCTTTCGTATGCGCTCACTGATAAACACTACTATGAGGTCCTTTGGCGGGAGGTTTCTTGGGAAAATGAATTCCTTCTGGGTGGATTTTTTGTCGTTTCTCAGCTGTGTCCCATCCCCACACACTGCTGAGGCACAGGGTTCAAATCGGCTGCCTGAACGTGGTTGTCAGGAGCATCCAAGCTGCCCTCGAGTCCCTGAGACACCCACGCCGTGCTGGTGGGTCTGGCAGAGGGCTGGCAGGAGATCTGTGCCCGCCTGGCTCAGCAGCCAGAGGCCAGCTGGGACACCTGCGGACATCGCAGGTGACACGGGACACCTGTATTTAGGCAGCAAAGCCACATTTACGGTCTGAGCTGCTCTAACCTGTGACGGTCAGCTCTTCGGCTCCTGCCTGGTGCAAGGTGACACCTCCGTTAAAGCTTTTCGCACCCACAGCCGAAAGTGGGAGTCTGTAGATAACACAACCCGTACTCACTGTGACCATTCCTCAGTGCCTCGTTTAGACGGACCGGTGATGTGGCTGCCTCCACTGAAGTGGCATCTTGATTGACATGGCAACATTGAACTCCAAGAGCGACCTGAGTTCAGGAGGTACTGACAACCCAGTCAGAGAGAGCAGAATCCTTCCAAGGTGTCTTGCTTTGGCCACTCGAAGCATATGCTTGCTTGTTGGTGTCTACCTAGGGAGTATTCAGTGCTGAATCTATGGATGAGACCTGGAGAATATCCTCCAAGCCCTGAAGTTCTGCTCTTCCTATGTGGAACCCCAGAGCCATCAGGATGCGGTGAGGATAAGACAGCAGATAAAATATGCTGATAGCTTATTTGAAGCTTGGACTGGTGAGAGTGGGGATGGCTGCTGGTGTTCGTTAGAGGAGGAGAGCCATGACCAATGCTCCGGCTTGTCTTTCTGCTCCGGTTCCTTGGGCAGAGCTGGGATCAGCGCTGGTGTGAAGGCAATGGCCTGCTGGAGAGGAGAAAGGGCAAAACCCAGCTCTGCAGCCCTACCCGCGGCTGGGAGGAGGAGGAAGGAGCAGTTATGGTGGTGGGCGCGGTGCTCACAGGTCCTGGGTGCGGGGAGAGTCCTTGGGGCTGGTCTTAGAGGAAAAGGAGAGTACGTATTTCCACCTCATCAGTTCTTTCTTATGCTTAGCAAAATCTAGGAAAGCAGCAACTTCAGCCCTGTTTTGGTTCTTGCGACATTTTGCTTTTAGCCCCAGCGTATTTTTCTTGCATCGTACTTTGCTTTTGGACTACCTGTAGGATTTTGCACTACTCCCATAGGATTCCTGCCTAAGCGTGGAGCTGGGAGTAGGTTTCTACAGCTCCATATTTAGGGAATCTGCTGTGATTTGGTCTATACAGTCCATAAATCTACATGTTTGATACCCGATCAGAAATTCAGAATGAGTTGCAGTCTTTTCTTTAGTCTATGCAGTGCAGCCAGTCACAGGCTATGTCAGCAATTTAAATATTTTATTGAAATGCAACTTTTCAACATTTTTTGACATAAGCATTATCCAGAGATGCAAACTATAGTATAACTGTCCAACTCCCCTTCACTTACTGCAGTTATTTATTAAAGAAACACTACAAAAGGAAGAAAGCCAATTCCTTTCAAGTAGCTAAGGATTTTTAAACCAGAGCACATTTTTCAGTAAAATATTTTATTTTCATGCTATCTTCTCGTACTGTAGATAGTTTCAGCCTCTGTGCCTGGATTAATTGTTACAGGAGTTATTATATAAAGCTTATTAGAAAAAAAAAAGAACTACTATAAACAGCACTGGCCATATTTTACCCTGCATTTGTCATTCAGAAAAGCTTTCCAGTGTGAGACGTACAAATTATTATGGAGGAAACACAGGACTTTTAACACACCAGATTATTCATATGCACTAACATGACAAATCCAAGTCCATTTACTAAAGTAAATAGACATGCAAGCTGTTCCTCAGGCAGAAGAGCTAAATTTGCTGTCCAAGTGGACCTTTGTTTTGAGGAAAAATATTTCTGAGAGAAATGGGGTGGTTTTCACCGTGTGGCACTGAGCCTTGGAAGTGTGTACATTTTTGCTTCAAATGTGGCCGTTTTGTCAAACTTGTGCATAACACAAAAACTTGATAGAAAAATTAGCCTGGAGTGGAAATGGCAAAATGGTTTTGAGAAATGCAGTTGGGGACCTGAGAAAAATGTAGACAAGGATGGTATGGACTGTAAAAAAAAAGGCTGACCAGGTATTTATGGGTGAGCCGATAAGAGAACTTCACACTGAATGAAGCTCTAGTTGTTACTCTGTATATTACGAAATACTTCACTTACCATTATTTAAGAAATTAAGCTAGCATTTGAATACCTTACCAGTGTTAATGAATTCATTCACACCACACCTGGATGAGATAGGGCTGTATTATCTCCTTTTTGCACGGGAGGAACTGCTCTACAAATTAAGGTCAAGCAAAAAGCTTGTGAGAGGACTGGTCTGGTGCCTCAACTGCTTTTCATACACAAACACTGACACCCCTTTTCCAGGCTTCTTATTGCCTGTCTTCAAAGTCCGAGGAAATAACACTGACAGCATCTTCCAGAGCAGGAATTTCAAATGACACTTCTGCGGTCCTCGATGAAGCACCGTTTACGTGGTTTAGAGACCCAGGGAGGAATGGGCAAATGGTCAACTCCACATGGTGTTCCAGAGTGCTAAATTTCGCTCAGGTTTAACCGAAGGATGTGTAAAAACTCATGTGGCTACACATCTGAGACAGATCAAGAGTGCAAGGTGCTCATTCCGATTGCGAGCCCCACAAACATTTGTGAAGGATCGCTTTTCCCCTCTGCACACACCGTCACCCCAGCCTTTCAGGGAGCTCCAATGCAAGTACAAGACCACGCAGCTTCAAGGGCTTAATTTGGCTACTTGCCTTAATTAGAACTAGTTGTGTTTAGATGAGCTAGTTGTCTTGCTGGGAACCAAAGATTATACCCTGGAAAGTTCCCACATTTTACAAGATGGAAGGATATTGATAGAACTTCCCAAATTTGCTAGAGGTGGCACAGCCACCCTGCAGCCTCCCATTCCTTTTCCTTGAGAAAGCAGTGGCATCCCGGGGGGGAGCTGGGCATCTTCGTGCATTAGCACCTGTCACCAACCTATAGGATATCTTAGGTTCTACAAATTAACAGCCTTGGGAGCTTTCTCCTTTCACTCAAATATTTTCTTCTTCGTTTTATGCACTAACATCACCAACGTCCTTATGGTGAAAGTGAAAAAAAGCCAGGCCATTGGTGCCTCAGGGACTATGGCAGGGGCGGCTGTAGAAGTGGCACTGGGTGTGACCTCCTCTTCGAGCCAATTTTTGCCAGTGTGCGTGGCTTGGGAGAGGGAAGGAGAGACTAGATTCTAAATTTATTAAAACCAACAAAAGTATTGCAGCATGGATGAAATACTTTCAGCTGTTTGTCCCAAGGGAACATTTATAAACCCATCAAATGCCAGTTTGTACTTTAAGTATTCTGTGTTTCCTTACTCTTACGGTAAAAGCAGTTTTTTTACTTGCCTCTCGCCTTTCCTTTTTTTTTTCCGCCCATTTTTTTTCCCCCCACCTTTAAGGCAGCAAATCCTCCATGCTGAATGCTTACAAAAGCCTAAAACCACCAGTGAATAGCTCTCACTCCCCAAATTCTCCACCTGTGATTTCTCGAAGTGGTCACCTGGCCGATAGCTGGGATTTCCCTTTTCTCTGTGGCACTGCACATGAGCTCTTAGCCTGAACTGCGTCCCAGACTGACTCTTGTTAGGATATCTCTTAGAAAACTCATCCATTACCAACCTGTTCCTCTGCTCTAGACTTGGATTTCCAACTTTTCCTCCTTTCGCCTGAAGAAGAGAAGGCTGCGAGGGGACCTAATAAATGCTTACAAATATCTGCAGGGTGGGTGTCAGGAGGACGGGGCCAGACTCTTTTCAGTGGTGCCCAGTGACAGGACAAGGGGCAACGGGCACAAAGTGAAGCACAGGAAGTTCCGTCTGAGCATGAGGAAGAACTTCTTCCCTCTGAGGGTGACGGAGCCCTGGCACAGGCTGCCCAGGGAGGCAGTGCAGGCTCCTTCTCTCGAGATATTCAAGACCCGCCTGGGCAAGATTCTGTGCAGCCTGCTCTGGGTGACCCTGCTTCGGCAGGGGGGTT